GCAAAAGGGAATAACAGCCCAGTGTCAGCCAAGAAGAGGAAAATGACGGGCGTGTTGGAAAAGAAGAGAAAAAAGAAAATGTAACTCCCATGGCAAATCCCCAACTGCTCCTCCCTAAGAGAATGTCTGACAAAATTCTCCTTTTCAGATAGTATACCTAACTTTCCCATGTGAGGAACAAAAGATTTTCTCCTTCTGGAGAAAACATGTAGCTTAAAAAAGAACCACTTTCAGGTGGTACTTTGTTTTGTTAAATAGTAAAATTATTTTTGGCAGATGGCCTTTTTATATATTGTATATCGTAATTGTAATGTACACTTTTTACTGTTTACAGCAAGTAAAGGTCTGAAAATGCTGTATTTAAAATAATACAGAGTTTTTAATATATTTATTTGGTAATGCTTGGGATCAAGCCCAGGGCCTTGCATGCGAGCAAGCTCTGCCTTTGCACCACCAGCCCCCAACCCCCTCTTCCTTGTGCAGACCTGTCAACAAGTCTTTACCAGAAGTAGATGAAGGGGATTTTTCAGACAATTCTGCTTCTAAGCACCTTAAATGCCATATTCTGTAGGTTTGTCTATCTAAAATATATCTGTTTAATCTTGAAAACATACCTAACGTGACTACAAGTTTCATTGTTATAGATGACTACTACAAACCTAAATTTCTTAATTATCCTAAGCAGTTTATAATAATAGCTTTCAAGAACTAGAACTTTACATTACATTTTTAATGAGCTGCATAGGTACAATACCTTAAACAAGAGTAGAAAAATAATTCCCTTATAACAAAAAATAACCTTAAATTTGTAACAGTATACAAAAATCCATACCAATATAAAATATTTGAGACTAGTAGTTGCTTTTTTTTAGTTTAAGAGTAGATTCAATAAATCTACGTTTTATTTTATCATTCCTATATCTCCTTTTTTTCTTTTCAGAAAGAGATTTCTGAATTTAACCTACTTTGCATAGTTTTCTCCCTGTCTGACCATGACCAGTAACAATTTGCAAATAACTCCCCCAATGATGACAAACACCCATAATTGACTGAATGGCCATAAAAACCACTCACCCCACCTCTTGGGAATGTGGGCATCATGTTCTCTAGACTTCCTGTTGTCTGGGGGTGGTGACATCTTTAGGGGACGCTGAGAAAATTGGGATAATGGTCAGGTCCTGGAGAGCTAGCTGTATCATTTGTTGTCCGGTCTCTGTGTAATGGGAAAGTGTAGAGCTTATCTGAAGTCCTAGCTGGAGTAGTCTGTGAGGCTGGATAATCTCAGCAGCTTTGAAGTTGTTCTGGATGTAGATTTTTTTGGGGAAACTACAACAGAGGCATTCTGAGAGGCTGGATCACCTGGGCAACTTGCCTTCATTGGTGTCTGGTCCTTTTTGTCTGAAAATACAGACACTTTTAAAGGTAACATATATATCTGCATTAACATAAGTATGGAGTGCCTGGTATGCTCAAGTCTGCTAAAGATGATTTTCTGTTTTATGTTTGAGCAGGTAAAAGACATCTGTTTAAAAGTCCATTTGCTGAATCAAAATCTGTATATTGGCAAAATTCTCCAGGTGATTATGAGACCCAGTTCTGAGTACTGGAGATGTAGACACACTCATCAGACTCATCTCTCAGATGCATTGCTGGTTCCCTTTATTGACTGCATATTTGGAAGGACAGACACTGAAAATTCCATTTAATTTCATTATAGAAAATATAAAATAAGCATCTTCTACCTCTCAGAAATACATAGATTTGAGAAAAGAAATTAAAGTCTTATCTAAGTGGCTGTTTTTATGACAAAAGGAAAATACATCCCTGTTTATTTAACCTTTTTTTGTTATTTGTGTGTGTGTGTGTGTGTGTGTGTGTGTGTGTGTGTGTGTGTGTGTGTGTGTGTGTTTGTTTGTACCACAGCACACATTTGATGCTACAGGACAACTTTCAGGGATCAGTACTCACTTTCTACCTTGGCAGTTTGGGGTCTCTCTTATTTTTCCAGACTATATGACCCCCAAGCCAACTCCTTTCTCTACCTCCCATTTCTGTAGGACTGCTGGGATTTCAGAGGTCCACCAGCACAGCTGACTTCTCATGTAGGTTCTGGGGATCTAACTCTGGTCATCCTGCTTGCACAGCAAGCTTTTACCTTCTGAGTCACTTCTCCAGCCCTTCCTTCTTGTTTTCAACATAATTGCCATGAAGGGACGGTCAGCCTGGTTTCTTCCAAGTCTGTGCAAAATTGGTCTTTTACCATGTTTGTAACTCAGAAACATTCTTTCTCAAACGAATATTTATTACCCAACTGGTAGTACCATATCTATACCCATAAAGTGGAAAAATACTAATTCTTTTGGTGTTTTGCTTTTTAAAAAAAGACATTCTTAAAATATATAGGTTAATTTAATCTAGCAGTTTCCATAATCCCAAGTCTCTCAGCAGCTATGGTTGTTGTATTATAGCATTTAAAAAATTTAAAGTCAGGGGTTGGGGATTTAGCTCAGTGGTAGAGCGCTTGCCTAGAAAAAAAAAAGTCAACAAAGCACCATACAGGATCCAGACACTTGTATGTTTTTATTATTACATGTCTTATTTTTATATTACTTCACTCTCTTTAAAGACTTCACTTTATTATTTTCATACTATTTTTTAATGACTGTATACCCATTACCTTTTTTCTTCAGCACCTAAGCATATTAAAAATATCATAACTGTTCAAAGGTGTTTTGCTTTTGTTTTGGTCTGGACCTGACTTTTTGTGAGTCTGCAGCCTTCTCTGTGTGAGCCAAACCTTAAAACCTCAAATGGCTGGCTAGGTTTCCTCTGAATGGCTGGCTCTGCCTCCTCATCGAGAGCCTCACCTCATGCTAGGAGCCGCATTTATTGCCTCAGCTCTGAGAAGTTTCTGTGTTTGAAATGCAGCAGGTGTTGTTACCTAGGATATCAGCTGCTCAAGTACTCTGCTGCACAGCAGTCTTTTAAAGGAGCTGTGTCTCTGTATGTCATGAGCAGTGAGTCTACCCGAGAGACTGAGGTCGCCAGAAATCTTTCTCAAGTCTTATGTGGATTTATGTGCCCCATGTTGGGCACCAAAAGTAGCAAGCTTTCTTGTTGCATTTTCTTGGACTGCTAGCCTGGAGACTTATTATGAAAGCTTGACCTTAGCTTAGGCTTTTCCCCAACTAGCTCTTATAACTCAAATTAATCTGCTTCTTTTAATCTATGTTCTGCCACATGGCTTTTACCTTTCCTCAGTACAGCATGTCTGACTTGCTCCAAGTCTGCTGGCAAAATTTGTGCACCTAGATTCCTCCTCCTCCTCTTCCTCTCTCCCTGGACATCCCACCTATCCTCTCCTGCCTACTTATTGACCATTTAACTCTATTAAACCAATCAAAAGGTACCTTAGGCAGAGACACATCTTTACAGTGTAATAAATATTCTGCAACAGGGCTCCATCTATGCAGCTATAAGGAAGCCATCATTCATCTGGGTGCAGACCTTATAGTGCGACTGCTTAGGGTCACTCAGACTCCTGTCTGTAACCCCTCAGTCATTCTCTGTAAGCAACCTTAAGAGACTCATTGGTTCCTCAGGGTGAGCTTTGGCTTGTATTTGAGACCTTAGGAGTAAATGTTGCCTAGTATCCCCAGGGCAGAAATTCTTGAACTAGATTGACTCACTGTTTAAACGTCTCCCCTTAAGATCTGTCCACAGCACAGAGGCTGATGACAGATGTGGGGTAGGTGGATAACAGTGTATACATACTGAGTTGCTTCCACATGTGGCTGGCATGCCTCTTCTACAGGCTGGCATCCTCTCCTGATGGCTCTTATTTATCCTGTTTTCCCTGTTTGATTTAAACTGATTTTAAACTAGGTACTTCAAGTCTAACCCCCCCCAACCCCACTTGTGCTGGGAACCTAACCCAGAGCCTTGTACTCTACCACCAAGCTAAACCTTCAACCCCCTTTCCAGTGCTGTGATTTGGCCTGTGGCCTTTCTTCTGTGTGGCTTGGGTAACTTCCTTTGGATACCACAGTTTGCTATGAAATAAAGAATCTAAGAGATGAGATTGAATTTTTAGAATGTAAGGACATTTCCAGCAGAAAGGGTAAGATGAAAGACCTTTACCTAGGAGTAAGATCATTTGGCTAACCTTGAACCCAAGAAAGTAAACGTGTGTGTGTGTGTGTGTGTGTGTGTGTGTGTGTGTGTGTGTGTGTGTGTGTGTGTGTGATTATACAAAGAAACAGGTTTGTCTGATTAAGGCCAATGCTATTCAGAAGAGAATTTCACCTCAGAGGGAGGTGAAAGATTAGACAAGGCCACTCTAACCCACAAGCTACATTAATAAAGAAAAAAACAAAACCAAAAAGCAACCCACACTCCTGTGGGGTGAAGGCACTGCTTTTGGAACCATCCAGCTAAGGAATAGAGAGCACCTGTGGCTTATGATGCCCAAGCCTGGGACTCTGCCTGTTTCCTGTTGCCCTTCCTCTTCCCTCCTGCAGTTTCTATAGCAATTGTGGGGGCAATGTGAAGGATTTTCTTCCTTCTTTGGTATCCTGGGTATTTTTCCAGCTGCTATCTATGTTCCTGCTGGCTCGAGGAATCATCCCAAGGGCTTTCATCCTGAGGCATTTATGCAGATTAAAAAAACTCAGATGTAAACGTTTGATTTAATAACAGAGAAACTGGCCGTTAATTTTGGATGTTGTCTTGACATTTCTCTTTGCTAACCACCCCTCCATCTCATCCTCCCAATGGCAGCTTACGTGCCAGGCACTGCACCTCCCTCTCGCCCTTCTTGCCAGGTCCTCAGGTCTCCCGTCTCACCAGCTATATTGCGGGACTGAGACCGGGAAGATTGAACCCGCTGCTCAGGGAAATGCAAAACGCTACCAGCCCGGGACCAAGCCCCGCCCCTCTCGCCTAAGGCCCCTCCCCTCCCCCTAAATCCCCGCCCTAGATGACGCCCAGCCTCTCCCCCTAGGCTCCGCCCGTCGCCTTAAGCCCCGCCCTTCCCGCTCGGATGCGGCGCGCTCGGTGACGTCCCCAGACCGGAGTCCCGACCTCCCTTCCTCGCCGTGTGCTCGCCCTCGGTTCTCCAGCGCAGGCCTCCAGGCTCCGACTCCGGTGGCGGTGGGTGTGTCCTTACTTTGCGTATTTTGCCACTCGGGAATTGTTCCGCACGCGGCCTGCTGGCCCGCAGGCGCGCGGGACTCGCCGGGGCACTCTGCTGAGCCCGCTTCACCGGCCCGCTCGCTCTCCGTGCCTCTAAAATTCTGTCACTCCGCGCTTGGTTCTGACTGTCGCCGGACCCGGAGGCTCCGCGCCTTGCGGGTGTGCAAACCCAAACGCGCTTGCTTCGGTGCTGGTGCTGCGGAGGGCTGTTCTGTAAGACAGCCGGAGTTAGTTACTTTGTAGGCGTGTGGCGTCCAGTGCATTGTGACTCGGGTCCCCGAGCATTTTCTAGTCCCTCGCTCCAGCCTAGCAGGAGTTGAGGGTCGGATCCAAGGGTTTCTAAAAGTTCGTAAGATGAGTGTTGACGTTTGCGAGGAAGCAGCATTCGTCCTGACTCTCAGAGAGGATAAGCAGAGTTGAGTTGAGGCATAACGCCGTTTGGTTTCTGATTCAGCAGCCAATCAATTAACTGATGAAACAGCTCTGGACAGGTGCCAAGCAGGAGCAGGAGTCACTTCTGTGGGCCCGTGCCATAGCGGAAGTTGTAGTAAAAATGCTAGAAGCCTCTCCAGCATTTCTGTACATACAGTAGGAAGGTTTTGTTACCCAGTTACCTTCACTAGGTAGCAGAGCTAGGGTGACCAGAGGCTGCGTGCCCAAGGACCTCTTGCCCCAACACCGAGAGCTGTACTTTGAACTCATGTCTTTCCGACTGCTAGAGAGAGGCCTGAGTGTTCTAACTGCTCTGACCACTCCTCCACAGGTGCAGGCCTGGTTGGTCTCCAAAGTGACTGAAAAATGCAGAAGGACAGTGGCCCCCTGTAAGTGCCCAATGCGTAGGAATAGAATCACCGGGAGCTTCTAAAACCAGAGCACGTGACAGGAGCCTTCAGCCTGGCACAGCCTAGGGGCAGCATGGGTTGTGGCATGATCCCTGGACTAGTGGCCTGGGACCTGGATTTGAATCCAGCTAGGCTACTGGCTAGTTCTGTGAGTAGGCATGTCCCTCAGCCTGGCTTTATTTCTATCCATACAGTGACAGGATTTGCTGGAAATGACCCTTTTGTCCCAGGCAATAATTTAAAAAATTACGTTGATTTGTGTGGATGCATTTGTGCCATGTTGCATGTGTAGGGGTCAGAGGACAGTGTTGGTTTTCTCCTTCTGCCCTGTAATGTAATCAAACCCAGACTGCCGGCCTTGGGGGCACATCTTTACCAATCCTGAGCATCACACTGGCCCCACCCCGTGATTTTGTGCTTCGGGTTTTAAACTTGGTTGGCACTGGCGTCTCCCTTTTGCCATTTCAGGGTGCCTTTACATTATCTCGGCTTCGGCTATGCAGCCCTGGTTGCTACCGGTGGGATTATTGGCTATGCAAAAGCAGGTAAGCCTTTCCTGTTACTTTTAAAATGGTCATCTTAGTCCAGTGAAATGTGGGTCCCCGGGGTCCTTGAAGCCTAATTTTGCTTGACTCCGGTTTGTTTTAGGTCCCTGAGTGCAGCCTGCATAGTCAGACTCCTGGCTCTTCCTGCCCTGGCCTTTGGTTATCTGGTCAAATTGAGCCAGGCATCTTTCTTTCTTTCTTTTTTTTTTTTTTTTTTCATTTTTTTTTTTTTTGCCTGTTTACATACAGATAGGCAGAGGTGGTAGTGATGGTTGTTATCATCCATTGCCATACACCAGATCCCAATGTGCGCTCAGCTCCTCAAGTAGGAAACCTCTTGTCTCTCTGTATTATCTGTGTAACACCAGCCTCAAACCAAGGGCTTGTGTGGGGCCAGACAAACACTGTATTGAGTCATACCTCCTAAAGGAGAGAGGGCAGGGATGGTAAGACCCTGACTTCTCTGGAAGACTCCCCAGACTCCCCCATGCTGGGAACCCTCTGGCTATAATCCTCTGGGAACTCTCTTTTGCAGTTTTCCTCTGCAGGGGAGGGGGATCTTGTAGATTCCATATGTAACGTCTGACATGACAACCCAGATGTGTGCCTGTTTGCTTCCCCAGGTAGTGTGCCATCCCTGGCTGCTGGACTCTTCTTTGGGAGCCTAGCAGGCCTTGGTGCTTACCAGCTGTCTCAGGATCCCAGGAACGTGTGGGTTTTCCTAGGTAGGTCTGCCTCAAGCTCTGCAGCTGTGTTCGGCTTGGCGGTGAGACTCTGGTGGGCATGTGTGGCAGGTTCTTCTTACTATAGGTCACCTGCTTCTGCCAAGGTATAGGTGGGTTTCGTCGTGGAGAACCCTGGATTGTTTCCCTTCTGTATACAGAATGCAGAAGGGTTTCATACAGCATGGATTTAATTTTCCCAGCGAGATTTGTTTTAAACTGGACTAGACAGTGTGTGTTAACTATTGAGGTTTCATACTAAAGACAGCTTGCTTGAAACGTAGAGAGAAATCTCACACATCCCACAAGGTCCTGAGTCCATGTAACCTTTTCCCCATTGAACGTCTCTCCCCTTTTATAGTCAGTTAATTGTGTAAGACACAGACCTTGCCTTTGGGGACCATTCAAGTTCACTGGGAAGTCGGGTAATGTGACTCTGTGGAACTGTAGATAAGTGCCCTGGTGCAGCCCCTGGTGGGGAGGGGGTACAGATGATGGCTTCTTACGGTGATCTTTGGCACATTTTTCTTGGTCTCCACCCTGGTGCTGGCTTTTGCCAGGGGTGTGGCACCTCTGTGCCTCTCATACCCACACGTGCATCTCGAACCCTCTCCAAGGTGTCACGGAGAGGACTCTGCACACTGGCTGTGGGATAGGAAGGGAGGCCCGCTGTGGGCTATCTGAGGGGAGGATGAACTGGGCTGTCAGTTCTTCCCAACAGCTTCCTCATGGTTTGGAATGCCTGGTAGACCGCTTCTGCCCCTCTCATCTCAGAATTTTGCTCTCAAGTGATCCCACGTGTGTTTGATTGAAGAAGCCGCAGCCACTGGTGTTGGTTACAGCCTTCAGCTTCCAGGCCATCCCTTTATCCATTTCCCTCTTCCTCCAAGCGGCTCTTCTTTTTTTTTTTTTTTTTTTTTTTTTTTTGGTTTTTCGAGACAGGGTTTCTCTGTGTAGCTTTGCGCCTTTCCTGGAGCTCACTTGGTAGCCCAGGCTGGCCTCGAACTCACAGAGATCCGCCTGCCTCTGCCTCCCGAGTGCTGGGATTAAAGGCGTGCGCCACCAACGCCCGGCACCAAGCGGCTCTTCTATCAGGGCTTTGGCTCCTGAACTGTGAGCTGTCTAGGATCCATCATTTGTTTGCATTTTTGTGTAGGGTCTCTTCTGTTGTGGGATCCTACACATAAAGTTCACATGCCGTCAACTTTGACTCCTTTAGAAAAGGAAGGAGCTCTGAGCCCACTTCCTCTTAAGTCCCTGGCTTTCCCCTCCCTTTCAGGAGCTTTTCCTCGTTTCTTCCTCTCTCAGACATCGTGGGTCCACTCAGTCTTCATTTTTGTTCCCTTGACTGTAGAATGCCGCCGCCCGCCCCCACCCCCACCCCCACCCCCACCCCCAGTCTCACAGGCCCCTGTGTCTGTACAAACCTCGCTGTTCGCTTTTCAGCCTTTGTTTTATGGGCCTGGAAAGGTGGGTGGGACTCCCTCCTCCCCTGCATGTAGGATGTGCTGATTTTTTGACTTCTTTTTCTCAGCTACATCTGGGACCTTGGCTGGCATCATGGGGATGAGATTCTACAACTCGGGGAAATTTATGCCTGCCGGTTTAATCGCGGGTGCCAGGTACTTTACACTCCATCTCTCTTTACCCAGACAGGGGTTAGTTTTTCACTCCAGACGCTTCATACCGTCAGAATTCGCTCACTTCAGTGTGCCTGATCCTAGACTTCAATCCCCATTCTTTTAAGGTTGTATACAAGTAGGAAAGGCTACACAAGCCTTTGTGGTTGATTTAGCACTTAAGTGTGTTCATTCATTGTAGACATGATCTTGGATTTGCTCTCTGGACTGTCCTAGACTCGCCTGCATTATTACACTGTCACAGCCTCTGTCCAAACCCTTGGGTGTGGCTGCATGAGACTGTCCGTTTTGGTTCCCTGTTGCTTAGTTATTTGAGTGTCCTTTATTGAAAGTTTTGCTAAAAGAAGTCACCTGTGGTGTCCTTTTCCTGATGACTTGTTTTTTCTTAACCAGTTTGCTGATGGTTGCCAAGCTTGGAATTAGTGTGCTGAGTTCTCCCCATCCATAGTAGCCACACCCCTGCTTGGGCTCATGAAGAATTGAAACTCTCCAAACGTCCACATTTATAATGTCTGAAGGAAAAAGTGCAGCATATTTACATATCCTGACATTTTACAAAGATCCCCTGAGCACCCTGAGGTAGATGAGATTTCACCCGGGTGCCGGGTGTTGAACCTGAGACCAGCTACTAACCTTCATGCAGTTTCATTCTTGTGTGATGACATCTCACCTTTCTGTGCTAGTAAACAAGGGGTGCAATGTTGGGTGTCAGCACACGGGGCCCCAGAGCCACATGTCCTGCCCAGAAGTGTGTGAAACCTCTTGGTGACATTTGTGATGTGGGATCTTTTGTGTAGGTCTGCTATGAAATTATGTCTCAATGAAATACCAGTGAAAATAAAGTTTGCTATTAAGAACAATTCTCTGGTGTCTCCTTTGTCAGAGTGTCTGGGATGTAGCTTGAGATGTGGATGGCAGGACAGTGCAGAGCTGTGAGGGGATCCTGTGAACATCATAGTTAGGGATTCCCCATTTGAAATGACCAAGGAATTGTTTGACTCTACATTGCCTGGAAGCTTGTTTTAAAAATTATTTGTGAGCCAGGTGGTGGTGAAATACACCTTTAATCCCACCACTTGGGAGGTAGAGGCAGGCGGGTCTCTGTGAGTACAAGGCCAGCCTGGTCTACAAATTAAGTTCCAGGATAGCCAGGGCTGTTACACAGAGAAACTCTGTCCCAGAAAAAAAAAAAAAAAAAAAAAAAAAAAAAAAATTGTGGCTCATGCCTGTAATCCCAGCACTCAGGAGGCAGAGCCAGGTGGATCTCTTGAGTTCCAGGCCAGCCTGGTCTACAGAGCGAGATCCAGGTCAGGCACCAAAACTACCAAAGAAACCTTGTCTCGTAAAACCAAAGGGAAAAAAAAAAATGTGAATTACGTGGATATAGTGGGACATGGTTATAGTCCCAATACCTTGGATGGAGAAGCAGGAAGATCATGAGTTCAAGGTCATATTTAGTTTTGTAAGTTTGAAGCTAACCTGTGCTATATGAAACACTGTCTCAGAAAACAAAAACAAAACGAACACACACACAAAATCCTTTGAGAATTTCTAAGATAGGACTGTAATGGAAACGGACTTAATGTCACATCTGTGCTTAAGTGTCTCGAGAGCAGGCTTGGTGTCTTCAAATGCAGCCTCCCTTTGTAGCCTGAGCCACCTACCTGTGCTCACCACCTTGCATCTATCTTCCAAGTGCTAGAATTAGAGATGCAACTCCCATCCAGCTCATCCTTAAACATGATTTTGAATATCTGCACCATGTTCATAACATAGATAGGATATGTCTTGACATGCATGTCTTTTTTTTAAGGCAGGATCTTTCTATATACTCCAGGGTGGCCTTGAACTCACAATTCATTTTCCTGAGTGCTGGTGTTACAGGTATGCTGGTGTTAGAGGATTTAGCACTCTTGAATTGTAATGCCCAGAATTCTGTGTAGCCGACCAGGGTACTGTATTCTGGACTGCATGCTTCTGTAACGGAGCACTGACTCATTTTCTCATCTGAGACCCCAGGTCTGTTTTCACGGTCTGCTGTAGAGTCTGCTGTAGTGAAAAGACAGATGCTTGATGATGATGTCTTAAACACTTTAATTAAATCTGAAATGATTCGGTGGCTCCTTGTCATAATGATTGCCTTCCACATGTAGTTGTACCAAACCCATGGCGTTAAAAAAACAACAACAAAATGTTTACGATTGAGTGGTGTGTGGTGTAGTTGTAGTCTCTGGAGAATCAGATTTAAATAATTTAGTTTGAGATCTGGTTATACCAAGTTGCCCAGGCTGGTCATGTTCATTTAAGCTCAAGTAATCCTGCCTCTGCCTCCCAAGTACCTGGGACTACAGGTGTGTGCCACTATTCCCCGCTGGAATATTGTTTGTGGTGCTGAGGATCAATTGTAGGGCCACGCATGTGCTAGGCAAATCTTAGCTATACATGTATGCTTTTTATTTCATTTCATTGTGTTTTTTGATTTTGTTTAGCAGTGCTGAGCATTAGACCTAGAGCCTCATACATGTTAGGCAAGTATTCTACCACACCTCCATCTGAGCTGTACCCCAGAGCTTTGTGTCTGCCAGGCAAGCGCTCTACCACTGACCAGGCTTTTGCTGATTTTGAGGCAGGGTCTTGCTAAGTTGTCCAGGCTGGCTTTGAATTTGTTGTATGGCCCAGACAGGACTTGAACTTACAATTCCCTTGCTCAGATATGGAATCATTGAAAATGTCCTTTAATATGTATGTGACAACAAAATTTGATTCAGACATAAATACAAAAATAGCTCTGGAGGAATTTTAAATGCACAATTGCTAAATGAAAGTAGCCAGTATAAAAGAGTTATCATATTCTGTGATTCCAGCTATGGGGAGTTCTAGAATAGAACAATTAGAGATATTATGGATTCTAGGGACTGGGAGTATGAGTTAGTGTAGCTTAGCATGTATGAAGCCTTAGGTTCCATCCCAGCATAGGAGAGGAAAGAAAAAGGCAAGGAGAGGGAGGGAGGGAGGGAGGGAGAGAGGGAGGGATCCCACAGCAATTCAAGATATGATAATAGGGAAAGTTGGGGGAAGATGATGAAGGGTACCTGGGAACTCATACTCTAAACCTGAAACTGCCACAAAGAAGTTAAAGCAACAACCCCTGAGAAGGACTCATCCCTTACCAGGGACGCTTGCACACGTATTTACTGCTGCTATACTTAGGATAGCAAGGGTTGCTTGCACACATATTTACTGCTGCTATACTAACGATAGCAAGGGATGCTTGCACAC